CTCTCGCTAGTGTATGTTGGGTTGGTGCATAATTATCAGGCGTTTTTAAAACAATATTTATGAAAAAAGAAACATAACAATTAACTTTAAAATGTCATTGTTGAATTGTTAAATAATAATGTTAATATATGATTATTCCGGAGCATATGATTATCGATAACCTGAAAATAAAATAATACTTTTTATTAGAAAACTCACTTAGAAGAACGCCTGATAATTATGCACCAACCCAATATATATATATATATATATATATATATATATATATATATAGATAGATAAATACAGTGTAACCCGGATATAAGAGACCTGGATATAAGAGAAACCCGGATATAAGAGAGATTTTCTCCGGTCCCAAATTAGAGCCTGTGTTAATGTATATAAAATAGACCAAACCCGGATATAAGAGAAACCCGGATATAAGAGACTTCTTCTCCGGTCTCGACAACTCTCTTATATCCGGGTTACACTGTATATATATTAGATAGCGTCACCAATTCGCTAAAAACGTTTTATCGTCAGAATCCTTATGGTATAATTAAGAGGAAAAGCAAAAGATATTTTTATAATTAAATTGTATTTTTTTATTCATTTTATTAGGTTGGTGCAAAAATAATGACGTAATAATGTCGTTTTTGACGTATTTTTAACGTCAAAAACGACATTATTACGTCATTATTTTTGCACCAACTTAATAGAACGTTCAAAATTTTGGTTAAAAATCTCGTTCATTTACGTCAGCGGGGGTGGGGGTGGTGAGGCACATACTAGTATAGGAAATTTTAGCGTCTTTTTTGTGGTGAAAAATACATTGATTTGGAAATTCTTACAAGAATCAAATAATCGTCGGATATTAATGAAACTTTCAGGACTTATTCACAAAGAATGAAATTATTCTTGAAATGTATTTTTTTTAAAGAAATTCTTCGCAAAAAAATATTTCTCTTATATCTGTTACCTCCCTACCCTACTAATTTAATTTTATGAAATTTCGAGAAATTAAATTTTGTAGAAATAAATGGAAAAGCTTACTAAAATTCTGCGGTTATGATTAGTATTAGGTTGGTGCAAAAATAATGACGTTTTTTGACGTATTTTTTAATGTCAAAAAACGACATTCTTACGTCATTTTTGCACTAACCTAATAAATACAATTTTACTAATAATAACAATATCAACTAAACGCTACAAATTAATACAGACTTTTAAAAGATTTAAACTTTATAAAATAGTATAATTATATTTTTTTAAATAAAAAACAAATTCTTGCAAAAATTTATTATTCAGCGAATTTTTTTTTCTTAAGATAATAGTGTCCATAACATATTTTAAATCAATTAAAAGCTTTTCTTATTAAATAGAGTCTTAGTTTTATTGCGTTTTTTATTTTACGTGCAGAGCATATTTTCTGTAACTGGAGGTCCTATTTTGCAAAGTAAAATTGATGATTTAAATTCTCCAAGGACATTTGCTTATAACTATTCTAAACATTAAGCCCTACAAAAAGAAATTTCCAAACCAACGTGTTTTGTACTACAAAATGTCGCTTGAATTTATGGTCACCAATTGATGCAAGAAAAACCAACTCTTAATCTAAATTCTGAAAAAGAATAAAAAACGATAAAAAAAATATAAGTTAATAATAAAAAAATATTCTTTGCTTTTCTTCTTAATAATAACATAATATTTTGACGATAATAAGTTGTTTTTATTAAGCAGTGCATTTTTCATCATGTATGCGCATTTTAGCGAATCTTTGGCAGTAACTATATATATATATAGATACTTCAAAAGACATGCGTCTCCTTCAAGAGGCAGATGTGCTAATCTGTTCAAGATATGATATACTTCGTAGTCTTGGAGAAACCAGATCACAAAATTTACACGTTTCTGTATATGCTGAGCTGTAAGCTGTTTAGTCACCCAAGCCATCATGCATTATGACTTATTCAACGATTGCCGCCATTTTGTGCTCACATAATTCGTTGATTTTCTCTGATCAAGACATCCACTCTCTGGATGTTTTATCTTCCGTGCGAGCATATTGCCTTTCGTCTATTACACCTATTCTTCCCACATTAAATCATTCTACCCACATATACACCTTTTGTTAATTGACGGTGTCTGCATTATGCTGGGACAACATCCGGCGACGGATTTCCACAGGTTTGGTTCGCTTTTCAGATAGAAAGAGCATTACGACGTGTTGTTCGTCGATGGTCCAATCGCCGTGTAGATTGTTCATACGTCTAACCTCGTTGCTCCCAGACAAACAGCTGAATAATTGTATGTCATCCGATGCACAGACCTAATGTCACGCATCAGCACCTCCTTGTTTTTACCGCATAATTTCAAAATTACCTTTACTTCCTGATTTGCCATATTAATAATAATAATAGGTATAACTAAAATGATGATAACGGTGATAAAATATAATATATATATATATATATATATATATATATATATATATATATTGGTATAAAATGACAATTGGAAAAAAAATCTTAGATTTTGCCGAAGCGTTTCGTCTTCCGACTTTTTCAAGATAAAATGAAATCGAAAGGTTTTTGTTGTTATAGTTACATTAAAAATCCAATTTTTTTTTCCAATTGTCATTTTATACCAATCTGTCTTGTCCACAGAATTGATCTAGGAATTTAACTATATATATATATATATATATATATATATATATATATATATATATATATATATATATATATATGAGATAACGATATATATTTTATATATTAAGAACAATATTGGGGAAATTATATGACAAAGTGGAAAGTTTACTGTTGACATATTTGGGCAGGGGCTCTACGGTCCTCACTTTCCTGTCTTGATAGAGTTCAAAAGCGTCTCTGAGTCCTTGTTGGGGAAGAATTATTTTCTAACCTCCAACCTCACTCTCATTGGTGCGATGTGGTGAGTCTTTCGATACTCTTTCGCTACTTTTATGGAAAGTGCCTGGACGAACTACATTTCCTGGTTCCGCCAGGTGTAACCTTCAAGGTTAGGTTCCGGCATGCCACTTACATAGTAGCAAATCAGCCACATTACCCCCGTATTCCATCGGCGAGAAGTAAGTCCCACTCAAACAGCTTCTTCTCGCGAACCACGGCTCTGTGTAAAAGACTCCCAAGAAGATGCTACCCAGATCAATACAATTTTAACCTGTTCAAGTCTAGAGTTAACCGATATCTTTCCCTCCTATACATATGTTCTAGAGTAGTTTTCACAGTGGAGGCTTGTATTTCACTAAGTCGGTCCTTAAAAAGGGTCGACGTACAAAACGTTAGGAACTTGAAAATAATAGTTAATGACGCAGCAATCTAGTTTTGGGGTTGATACTTTAATGTCCGACATCGACTGTCTCACTCAACTCACTGAGCCCACTGGCGACTGCTACTACTACTAGTTATTATCTGTGGGAGAGTCTATTTACAATAGAATAGGTATGTTCCGGTATAACAACATATAAACTAGCCCTTTAGGTAACTCTCTATCTCGAGTGGCTCCGGGACTTGAAAAAGGTGAACGTTACTGTAAAAAAAAAAAATAATAATAATCTCGGAAGACTATAAATTACAAGTAAAGAAAATCTTTCTCGATGATATGTGTATATTTTGTCAAAAAAGTTGTTGTCAGTGAAAGCTGCTCTTAACCGACTGCTGTGCAACACTGAGAAAAACCAAACGAGAGAGAATCTCTATTTTCAGAGGGCATACAAATGAACAGACTGATTCCAGACATAATTAACGATTGCTTAATTATGTCTTCCCACTGGTTATCTTCAATGGATATTCATTAGTGCTGCCAGTGAATTTTATTTGTTGAGGAAGCGTCGCTAACTCCGTAACAGTCGGTGAAAGCTCTGATGATAAAAAGACGGAACAAAAGCAGTCAACATAATACGTAAATCTCGTTAAAAATGTTGAATAGAAGAGGAACATACTGTTATTAAAAAAATTAATATAACGGCAGCCATTTTTTACGCTTTTCTGGGCGCGGAGGAAAGAAAACTCTGCGATTTCAAATAACTATATGATTGACTACAAAGAGAAAGGGAGAGAGAGAGTAGGAGCTAGAGTAAGATAGAGAGTGAGGCTGTGTGTGTGTGTTTGTGTGTGTGTGTGTGTGAGAGAGAGAGAGAGAAAGAAAGGGCTGGAGAAAGAGGGTGAGAGGGTGTATGAGATAGTGAGAAGAAGCTGGAGTAAGAGGGAGAGGGAGGGTCTGTGTGCGTGTGTGTGTGTGTGTGTGTGTGTGTGTGTGTGTGTGAGAGAGAGAGAGAGAGAGAGAGAGAGGGAGAGAGAAATAACGAACTAAGAAGAAAAAAGGACAAAATATAAAAATGAATGCCCGAAGAATATTTTTTGTATTGATGAATGGACATAATTTCAAATTTTCTTCTCGCTCCCAAAGATGGTGGTTGTCGTCTGCTTGGATGACCACAAATATATGAGAATTCAGACAAATTGTTTTTTTCGTTTGCATGGAATATATATATATATATATATATATATATATATATATATATATATATATATATATATATATATATAAGCAAAATAAATATAAATAACAGCTAAAAATATGAAAACATTTTTCAATGATTTTCCAACAATGATTGAAAAAATCCTGCAATATTCACTTTTGAAATTTTTCTTATCAAGCATTTTTCTACATTCAGTTTTTGACCTACATTGTAAGATTTGCACAATAGCAGCTCGGATTGAGAAATCGGAGAGCCGAGTTCGAATTCCAGTCGAATGCATTACATTCACTTACTTGCTAATAACCTTGGGAAAGGTATGAATCCTCTTCTCCCCCCCCAGCTATGGGTAAATAACCAGATTCTATAGCCTTGGATGGCAACTAGATGGTCTACCGCAAAAAGAAATGGCAACCAACTGTGGGAAAAATCTGCCTCGTCAGTCACGTATCCAAAGATACATGATCGCCTAAGCGTGTATCACGCATGGCACATAACTGACTGTTAGATAGATAGATAGATAGATAGATAGATAGATAGATAGATAGAGAGAGAGATAGTGAGAGAGAGAGAGAGAGAGTGAGGGAGATAGTGAGAAAGGAGAGATTATAATTCTATATGAACGAATAGTTTTAGACAAAAGGTATACAACTACACAAAATTAGTAAAAAGTTTATATTAATCTTCTTGCCCTAATTACTACCTAATTTTATCGACTTTTTGCTCACAATTAAATACAAAAGTCTTTTTTTTAATAATTTTTACCGGATCAAAGGCCTACGAGCCGCTGAAGGTAGAAGCTTACTGAAAGAGTTCGTTGTATTATCAGTTAGAGTAAAAGGTAGGAAGTGCAGTTTATCAGGATATGTGAAAAAGTTAACGGTTAACGCTAAACTTGAAGAGCTTAAGTAGAAGTTCTTAGGCACAAACTGTCCGAACAGAACTTCCTCCTTACTAATGGAATACGAAGGGCATAAAGAACATTTGTGTTTACGACAAGTGTTTATAGCATGGACGTTTGGTATATTTAAGAAATCAGGGGAGATAAATGCACACGAACTTAAAGAAGGGGCAAACAGCCTCCGCATTCTGGATTTATCCATACTGTAGACGCCATCGATAGAGCTAAGGTAAAACAGAAGTACAGGAAGAGAGATTGGATTGATTCAGCTGCGGCACAAACATGAGAAAAAGAAATATTCAAAGCAACCAAGGCAGAACCAAAGTTACGAAACTGTGTCCAGATCTGTTCCATCAGACATGGCGTCATTGATACTACTTTTCAGCGTTTAACCACATGGGGGAATAAAGAAGCATCATATTCACCATTGTTTACGGTATGGATTCCAAAAGGTTAATTCTGCTACAGAGTGTATACGAAAGTAGTGAAAACTTGTACAGGTTAGTTGTTGTTTAAATGATTAAAAAAGATGTCTATTAGGGCTTGTCTGACAAATCTCGTTTTAGAGGATGGACGACTTCGAATTAAGAAATTTTGAATTGGAAGGACGTCAAAGCACAATAATTTGGTGCTAAAAGTTGAATCTATCATATTCAACTGTTCACGAACATCTCGAGCGAATTAAGATAACTTGCAAACAGGTTATTTAGGTTCCTCATTTTTCGCTTGAGAACCGTATAAAAATGGTTCACAATCTGCAGCAGTATTTTGATTAGAAATGCCAAACTTTCATTTTTACATCTCATAGTTAAAAGTGATGAAAAATGTGTTTTGCATGTCAACAGAAAACGGAGAAAAAAACAGTGGTTGTCAGAAACGAGAAACCACGGCCTACACCAAAATCCAAATTCTATTCTAAGAAGTCCTTGTTTTGTGTCTGAACTGGGATATGAAAGGTGGGTGTCGTTCATTAAAATCTACTGTATCAGGAAAATCCATATCAGCAGATGTTTATTATTGTTACCCAACGTCATCTAGTTGACGTTTACATGTGTAGTGAATTATCTCTTTGGTGTCGCGTCAAACAAATCTGGGGTTATTAAATGCTTGTATGTAGATTTTCTTGGATGTTTTGCAGAAGAAAGATAAAAAATAAAATAAATCATTGTTTTTTGTCATGTGTCAAAATTTTTAATAACAGAATAACACAACAGAAAAGGCGTCATACTATAATAAACGATTTTTTTGTGTCTTTAAGATTCTTATAAGTTTTTGAGCTTTTTCGCATGAATACTCAGTAAAAGTGTTTAATCACTTTCAGTGATTTCTTATATATTCTGAAATGAAATATTAATCAGTCAGTTATGTGCCATGCGTGATACACCCTTAGGTGATAATGTATCTTTCGATACATGACTGACGAGGCATATTTTTTCCCGCAGTTGGTTGCCGTTTCTTTCTGCAGTAGGCCATCCAAGGATCTAGGATTCCATCTATAGAACCTGGTCTATCTTACTATTTACCCATAGCTGGAAGGGGAGAAGAAGAGGATTCATACCTTTCCACGTAAGTGAATGTAATGGATTCGACTGGAATTCGAACTCGGCTCTCCGATTTCTCAATCCGAGCCGCTATCCATTACTCCACCGTGCCTCCCGAAACATGAATAGTGTCGTTTATTACAATCTACTGTAACAGGGAAAGGCCATATATGCAGGTGCTTATTGACAACTAAGCATTACGACCTGCTTTGCTAAACAGAAAAGGTGCTATTCTCCAACATGAAAATGCACTGTAAAACAAACGCAAGAATAAATATCATAAAGATGGTAGGTTTTACCACATCCTCCATATTCATCTGATTTAGTGCCGACAGATATTCAATTTTTCTTTCGTTCAGTAAACAGCAAGCAGCAAAACATTCAGCAGCAAAGAAATCAATAACTGACATTCTAACTTTATTTTCTTCGGGGGAAACCCAGATTTCTTTAAACTTGGGAACAATACTTTGCCTTCTCACTGGACTGCATTCGTTGAAAATGAAGGCGATTACATAGTTATCAATATGCATTTATTTATATATTTCCCGTGTCTTTGTAGTCCTGTTACTAATCTTTTTCGTCCGAGAGATATTTTCACTTCACTGTTATATTAAACACGTGGCATTTTTAACATGAAAAGATACTGAGCAAAAAGTGATTTCTATAATACCAAGAGTAATCAATGAATCAGAGAGATACCATTGGAAGCCTCAAAAATATAAAGGGAACGGATTAATTAAACGGTTCATTGGCCTTTATATTAGTTGTGAATTCTTTATTCCCGCTTTATTCTATCTCAATAAATTGTTTCAAGACTTTTGTTTCGTTGCATCACACTATTTGTTGTAGAGTAGCTAGCACCCCTTCAGCAATCTACCAAACTAAAATAGTCTACAATTAAGGACTTCACCAGTTGATATACATATATATATATGTGTGTGTGTGTGTGTGTGTGTGTGAGTGAGTGAGTGTGTGTTGTAGAGTAGTCTAACAGATGGCTTGGCTCATAGCCTTAAATAATCTACGATTAAGGATTTCAACAGTTATTTGATTAATAAGTTGATACTGTGGCGACAGTGTTACCAATATTTTACTTTGGCTAGGAAAGGTGGGATTAAGGACAATGCGTGGACGCAATGCAATTTATATTTGATGTAAATAGCACATAGTATAAAATACAAAACTGAACGGAATGATTTCAAAACATAACAATTGAATTTATTAGTGTTTGGTGTAGAAGGATAAGAGCTGAGGGTGTGATAGAGTTATGTCTCTTAGATTTGGAAATATTTGTATTTGAGCTCATAAAGTGAAAGTAATTATTAAACTCTAGTTTAGAAGAATACAGTTTCTTTATTATGTTTAGCATGCTTGGAATTGAATATTGTACAAGTTGGTAAAAGTTCAGAAGAGATTTCAGAGTTCGTACTTGCGTGAATGTTGGTAATGGTCTTTAACGTCTGACTGCATTAGTTAAGACGGGAGTTCTTGAAGATTACATCTTGGCAGCCAGGAATGAGACGCGCGCGCGCGCGCGCGCGCGAGAGAGAGAGAGAGAGTTTACACGTGTTCTGTTTTTATAATTTTGTTGTACCACGTGGGAGGTTCCGGACGAAAACGCGGAAAATTTCATTCCTCGCGTGCAGGATATCTGATTGGTCGGAACTGACCAATCACCAAGCTAGATTGAAGGTGATTAACCAATGAATGCTTGTTATATATTTTGTAAGATGGTGTTGGTGAAAATTACAACAGGAATAGTGCATTTCCTAGCAGGGGATAACTGGCTTGTTGTGGAAGATTCCACAATGCTAAGCTGATTAATATTCGGACTGATCTTACTTCAGAGTCTGTCTATACTTCTGAGATGAGGTATTATGTACATTATTTACATTATTCGGACTACTGTCCTCATCTTTGTCGCCATATTTATCACAACGTTTGGGCCGTTGTACGCTCAGGCCTTCTTTCGAACTGAACCCTTTATTTCGTTCCCGCTTTCGCCCTTTATTTCGTGGAACTAGAACAGTCTACCCCAGTGAGGACAATAGTCCGAATAATGTAAATAATGATCTTACTTCGTTTGGTTATACAGCATTTAACCGCCTCCTCTATTCCGTGTAAGTTGTCTTGTTATTTTTTTTTTTTGTAACTTATTGTTCTGTGCTTTTTGTATGCATCTGTTGGCACCGGATACTGGTGCTGAATAAACATATTAAGCAAGCATTCTTTATATAATATTAATCTCGATGATACAACACATTATAAAACTTTCTAACAATTGTCATAGTTTTTTGACGGTACGAGTCCACTAGAATTTAAATAAATTTAGTTTACCTTTGTTTTTATATGATTTCTGACAAAAATTTATTATTTTCTGTACAACCCAATAATTTTTGGTTCGTTTTTTAGCTTCTATTGAGTAGAAATCGGTCATCACTCAGTTTCCTATTCTGGGCTTTATAGATTTTAAAGCCAAGACCGTTAAACCTTCGAAATGACTAATGCTGTTTTCTCTATGAAAAGGTGGCATTCAACAACAATTTCACTGGTGTTAGAGGATTTAGCGGAATAGTTGCGATTTAAACTGAATTTACAAAAAAAGTAAATTAACATTGGTGATATATTTTTGAAGACAACGCTTTAAAGTTGTGGGAAGTTGTTTGGTTTGAAATCAAATCCTTTCTACAATCTTTTGATGCATTCTTATAGCTTCGCTTTCTTCCCCGTGTAAAACGAGGCAGTGTTTTAATGATGTAGAAAAACATGGATCCCTGGAGATATAATTAAGTTCTTAAATTTCTCAATGTTTAAATGTTGTTTCTCCCTTTTTTGCCTCGAATGTATTTTTCATCAGTAAACAAGTCAGTTGCCTAATCTGAGGAAGAAGAGGAAATGTCCAATCATGCGGATGAGGTACTTTTTTTTTTCTTTTTTCAATGACGTTCTTAATTTTCACTGTTGAAATTAATTAAAGAATTTTGTTTTTCAAAAAATTTCTCCGTGCATGTTAGTGTTGTTTTGTAACGCTGTCTCGTTTACCTTTATTTGTATATAGTGAATAATGGCTTTCGTGTCGCATTATTGTAAAATCAGGGACAAAAAACTGGGGCTAATAAATGCTTGAAGCTAGATTTTCTTGAAATAAAAATGAAAATAAAAATTTAAATATTTGTTTTTTTTGTCGTGTGTCGAATTTTTTTAATAACAGCGTGACGCAATAGAAAAGGCGTTATCTATATAATAAATGCGAATGTCAGCGTGTCACACTTTTTCAGCTTTACTCTTAGAGACCGTACCCCAACATATCATACCATTTTGAAATAAAACCGCCGCCATGAGCAAATTAAAAAAAAATTCCGACCAGGATCTGGAACCACAATCCTGATATTCTGCATTCCCAAATTTTCATTACTGCGATTGTTTACGGATCCCCCCAACTTGGCGTCTTCTGATAAAAACAATTAAAGGGACACAGATCTCTAACTTTCAATAGCTCATGTTCAAATAAAAAAAAAAATACAGTTCCCAAATTACAGTGCTTTCAAATTTACTCCTAAATATCTGGACCCACAGTCCTGAAATTTTGGATTCCCAATTTTTCATTACTGCGATTGTTTACGGACCCCCCACAAACTTGGCTTCTTCTGATAAAAAACAATTAAATGGACACAGATCTCTAACTTTCAATAGCTCATGTTCAAATGAAAAAAATACTGTTCCCAAATTGCAGTTCTTTCAAC